CACACCATCTTACACCTCGATCTGCTGATGTAATACTAGTTCCGGCTGAAACTATTAAATCATTCGCAATATTTACCTCATACATGTACATGTTGGATTATTTTCATTAGTAACAACATTCCGAAAAATAACTGAGCTCCGCTTTTAGGCTGGCCTAAATCTATATATTATATTTCATCGACACCAAGAACCAATCAAAATACGAGAAAAACTCGACTTATTATATGGCGTTGTTTAGTGCACGTTACGCAAAGTAGTAAGAAGTAAATGACGGTCACCTCGGCATGAACGAATAGAAGGGGAGAAGTAAATTTTAAATAAAACAAGTAGAATCAAAACTACATGTATTCGTTTTCTGTGAGGCTTTAATGAACCAGTAATTTTAATTACAGCTACATTACGCCAAAGACATCTAATTATTCTGGTGATTGCATAAGCCTGTAAATGTAGTTACCCTCGAGCTTCCATAAACCACCTGCAACATGAAGACGTACACCATAAACAATCAAACGACATTAGCGTAGGAAAAAAAAAATGCAAAAGACTGTAGGGGCTGGCAATTGATTAATTCAATTCCAAACTTTGTTTCACCGTTTATGTAACAATTTCAAGTAATAAGAAGACATCGATCTTTCTACCAAATGTTAGATTTATCAAGTTATAAACTTCGCTGAAAGTGTACTAAACCCCGGCAAGAAGAAGATTGGTTTTGCTGTGGTTGTCGGGCACCTATTGTCGGACAAAACCTCGGACAGCCGAGGAAAAGACTGAAGTCTAGGAGAAAACTTCGTCAAGCCAAATCCAGCTTATTCCTTCAATAGCAGCTCTCGTCTTGAATCTAGTGATCCATTTTTATCCAGATCCGTTTAATTTGTGGTTCCCTGAGAAAAAAGGTCGCGATTGGTATTTTGCGAAGAAAATGGTGCCTGCTTTACACGTGCAAAATCCAACCTTGCGGGAAAACAACAACAACAACACTCCAAACTTGAGAGCGAAACCTTCGATCTTCGATGGGCGTAAAACCAGTCGGCATGTTGTATCTCAGGAGCCTTGTGAGTTTATGTTTTGACTGTTAACCGCTGCAATATCGAACTGCTTTAACTTGGCCAGGAACACCAGACGTCGGACAGCCGCCTAAATTCCATACAAACTCAAGTAAACACTGCTATTTTGGTTTGACGAATGTCAGAGGAGTTAGTGAATATTTTGTTGTTGTTATTCTCATCACAAATGAGTCACCCGCTCGGCAAATGTTTAGGCGTCCGAGAATAGATTTGACGTCCGACAGTTGGTCTTGTAAGTCAACTTACGTTACATGAGTAGTCCCGAAAAATGTCACTAAAATGAAATCAAACACTGCAAGTAGCTAATCAAAATCGAAGTAAGAATTTTGTGATGAAACTTAAGTGTCCGATAATAGGTGCCAATACTAAATTATTACAGGTTAAGAGCCAGATATGGTTTTCATTCACAAGATTTTAATACCATGTCGCGAACAAACGAGTCTAGTCGAATAAACGCAAGCGGGGATGATGGTTTACAACAGTACGAGGTGAACCTTACTTCACACAGAAAGAATAAGCTTCTGAAAACATGCTCCAGTTTTTGTGCCTCCTATTTTTCAAGTTCCTGTGATCCTTGAGGATTGTTTTTGTTTTAGTTAGTCTTACGAAAGCTAGCAATGAATAGACTCAAGTCTTGATCATGCATATTGAATATGTATTGAATATATATTACCTCACGTTCAGCAGTAGCGGCATGTTTTTTTGCAATTGCGTTTGACGTAATCGTTAGATCTGCAATAGTTTCTCCAACCGGGGCAATTCCGATTGTTGTCTTTACAGCCTGCAAAATGAAACAATCGATGCAGTTTGACGTTCTTCTTTAAATATTATTAAAAGATAGAAACGGTGCAGACTGAAAGTTACATATCAAAAGAGGTTGAGGTGTAAAAGGTTCCATAAACAAACGTAATGTTTGACTTTCTTTGGTAGCAAAAAGTTGTATCAGTGATCGTATGAAGGCGATTGCAATTGAGGATCTACACTACTAGTATTACTTGAAAATCTCTTCAAACTGCACCCGCCTAAGGGCTCGTGCAGTTAAGTCATATAATGAAGGCAATTAAATGAGTCATGCACTCAGTCATATAATAATAATGATAAAACTAAACAAACACAAATCTCAAAGTTAGTAAACCGTACTGCCAAAGTCAGTCATTCCCTTCCACTTGATAATGATTGAAAATCATACCGTCACTCCTCTTAACATAGTGAGGCCAATTCACTAGATCAAAGGACGGGAATCGTTAGGTCTTTCTATTTCTGAAGATCATTTTTGACATTAATTAATTTCATTCAAATCCTTTTTTTGTATCAAAACATGATTTCATTACATTACTTACCACCTCCACCTCCTCCACCGCCGCCTACGCTTCCGCCAGCACCTAAAATGATACAATAATATTAAATGCATGATTTAAAAGAAAACATTGGGTTTTTACCTTGTGGCAAAGGTAGCCAAGTGAGCTATCGTAAACGGACCGATATATGAGTGTCGCGTAACTATAGTTTATGGGGTCGAATGCAAACAAAGTAATTTGTACTTCAGAATACAGGGCTGGAAATAACAGTCGGTCATCGGACATTGTCCGACCAAATTTTGAATATGTCCGGCCAATTTCACATTGTGATCGGACATGATGTCCGAACATTTTACCCACACCAAGTTATTGTCCATCAATAAAATTTGGTTAGATACATCGTTAAAAGACTCGAAATTGCGATCGGTACGGTCGTCACTGCGGCTAAAATTTTTATCTTTGGCGGCCAAAAATTCTGGTTGACAGCCGAAATTATGTCTGCATTCACAGGCTACCATAATGGCGACTACGTTTCTCTGTGTTGACGATTAATAACAGTTATTTTCTCAGACATTATGTCCTTCCTGAACTACATAGTGAAAGACCTTTGCTTCTCTAACATTCAACATAAGAAAAGAAAGCAATCTATCCTTTTGCTTTGCTGTAAAGGATTCCCTCACATCGGAAAACTTGCAAATGGCAGCTCGTGTTTGAAATCGCCCTATAATGCATTGCAAACCCTTGAGCACTGAGAATGTCATGTATGCCTACCGATTGTGTCTCTTAAAATGCATGAATCCTTCACGGATATTACATTAGCTACGAACACAAAATTAGCGACCAAAAAAGTCGCATTGTGTTCTTTTCCGAGTAAAATTCCTACTTGATTGTTATCACTTAGTTGCCAAATGGCAACTCAAGATTTTTTTTTCATTTTAGGCCCTTGACTCTGACAGTTTGAGCCATATCCAGGAGCCCATTATGGGCTTCTGCCATATCATAAAGCAGAAGTGTTCATCTTTCTTATACTTGCCAAATAAAATACTCTTCAGAAATCGCCCTATTATGCACTACGTGCATTGCGATATACTGTTAGCACTTCATGTTTGTACCCTTGAGTCAACTTTGGTCAGGAGCCCAGCACTAGGAGTGTCCAACTCCCATACTAAGCCTATGTCATGGTATTTTTACAGAACGGTCTATTTTTAGGCTTCTTTTCCCACGAAAAAGGTCAGTTCCGGTCTATATGAGCGCGAATCGGTAAGGAGAAAAATGGCGGCATCAGGTGGACATGTCGACCTAATCTTCTGGTGAAATTATAAAGTCCATGCTTGGGATTGGTCACGGAGGTTCCTGGGGGTGGGGGGGGAGGGGGCTGAATTCGCGGTAAATTCAAACTAAAAGTAGATCGGTCTGCGAAAACGCCGGGACAGGAATAATTGGGTCAGTTGTACACTAATAGTGATGGGCTCCTGCTTTAGAGGGACACACTCAGCTGGAGCACATGCGCATTAGATACCATTTCATAGCTAATTTGCATATCACAGAGACGCGATCCATACTGTTTTTAACCAAGTATGATAAAAATAATATCATAGGATTGAGCAAAAGCACACTCGAAAACAGGTTTTTCAGTGAACGATTGAAAATCAAGAAAAACACTGCAAAGATTGAAGTAGATTTCTAGATGTACTTTGATTTCAGGTTGAGGTGAACTTTTTTCAAAGTGAGAAAACTAGTGTCCAGGTCAGCGTGGTCCCAAAGCTGACTGTTTCTCTTTAATGGTAAAATTCAATAGGAAACTAGGTTTGCTTGCGGAACATATAATCAGGAGATAACCAGGAGAGATCCGTGCAGTCATCTTGTAGATTAAGTCATATAATCATCATAAATGATAAATAAATCAAATATAAATGCAGTTTTGAACGATTTGTATTGAAAATCTTTACAGTATGCCAATAAATTTTATTATGCTAATTAATTATGCTAATAAATTATGCAAATTAATGTCCGGTCAAATTGATAAGATGTCCGACCAAAATGAAGATTTCAAAGGACACATGTCCTGTTAAACAAGAAAAATTATTTCCAGCACTGGAAAATGTTGGCTACAATACAGGGTGTACTTTGAAAAAGGTTTTTAATTGTTCAGAAAAATAAGCTTTCATTAGATAGCAATTCATGAATAAACTGAAACATCCATTTGGCTGACGCACATTTCCTAATTTTCATGTACTGAATGCCAAGTAATGAAGAAAACCAGAAAATAGTAGTTTACTAAGATAGAAAAACTTCAAAGAGGTAATAATAAACCATCAAGGAACAAGGATAGTTAAGGGTGGAGAAGATAAACACGGATTGCAAACGTCGACTTTGAAAAATGTAGGCTAAACTTTTTAAGGTGTGTAAAGACTGACGTAGCTGCTTTAAGGGTGCGTTTGTGGTGATACAGTACTTTTACTGTTTTCCTACCGTAAAGAGATCGAATGCCGTTGATGTCGTCTGAATGAAGCCTCATGTTAGGAACGTAACCAGTGTAATAGGGGTACATGATGGCACCTCTCACGTCGGAATGTTTCAAACCGAGCGAATGACCAAATTCGTGGGTCGCAACCCACAGAAGGTTTGTTCCCCTTGATGTCCCATCAGTGTATGTCTCATCCTCGTCAAAATGAGCGCGGCCATCTGAAGGGAAGTAGGCATGGGCTAACACTTTGCCTGGACCATCAAACGGGCTTCCACAGGTGCGCTCAGCACTAGTGCCACCATGCCTTCTAGTTCCGAAGCTAAGAATGGCAAAATTTGAAGATGAAGCTTACATGTAATTTGTCATAGACATAGCGTAGAGCACATTATTATTTTACAGTATTTATTATTATGCTGTAAATAAGTATTTATCAACTTCAACATTTATTTATTAATTTTTGTAAACTAGTTATTAGCTATTGACTTTACTTAGGTGTGCTCAATTAACTAGTCTACAGCTTAATACATTGACACGTTAATAACGTTTTAATTCATTCATTCATTTATTCATTCATTCATTCATTCATTCATTCATTCATTCATTCATTCATTCATTCATTCATTCATTCATTCATTCATTCATTCATTCATTCATTCATTCATTCATTCATTCACTCATTCACTCATTCATTTTGTCCCGCGGTTTGGAGAAAAATTTATTGGTCAAGTTAAATAAATCTAGATTTAGTATTGTCCGTTACCTTTAACCAGTCAAGACCATGTAAAAGAACGTGCTGCTTATGAGGAGATGCAATCGAAGGTAAATTTTAATTGAGGAAATAAAGATAGTACCGTTTCTTACTAGGAGGCTGCTACGGCTCAATAACGTTTATTTGCAACTTTGCTGATCAAGCAGGGGAATCATCGCAAAGCATTTTATTGCTTGCCAAGAACTAGTTCTTTCCACCTCGTGAAACTATGATACTTACCTGATTTTAAGGTCCGCTGAACTTGGACTGTTTACTCGTCTAAAAGATAATGAAGATACATCCGCCCAGTATTTCAATGCTTTTGCAAATATACGATCTTGTTGATCTCTACTTAGATCCCGGCCATGTTGAATGTAGTACGTCAGGGACGTTTTCCTCCATTTACCCGATGTTGCGTAACGGCGTAAACGGGTTTCGCCAGCTTCGTCATCAGGCATGCCACAGCGTGGCTTCTTCATGAGATCTATCGTGGCTCCGTCCAGGCGACCAGTGACCTTCAGGCCAGCGAAGCGTTGAAAGTTGGTGATAGCTTTCTCCACGTCATGGTTACCGGATCTCGACATCGAGAGGTAGTGAAACTGGTTGAGGTAGTCCTAATGATTTGTCAAAAAAGGAAGAAAGAAAGAAAGAAAGAGAGCCAAATAAAAAAAGAAAGAAAGAAAGAAAATTGTGAAACTTTGGTCTTTTGCATGGCTTCTGTCTTTGGTCATCTAGAATTAAGTGATTCAATACATATCTATCGAAAAAAGCTAGTAGCACAATGGATGTATTTTTGTGCGATCGAATTTCCAAATTTGAATGTTGATTCAACTTCTAAGGTAACCTTTTCAATTTCTTTAGAGTTACAGTCTTGAAGAAACTGTTGTTCACCATTGGACATCATTTTTAAAGCAAAACAGAAAGATATATACACGCACAGATGGTCACCCTTGCTAATCTCTAAATTTCAGCAACGGGTTCAGCATTAGTCGGCAAGACGGCAACTCTTGGTATAGCAAAGTTAAAAAAAGGCAAACATATTATATATTAATATGTACCGTTTGTAAACGTTACCAGTTCCCTTATTTTCTTACCAGCGCGAATGTTTCTTCGTCTTCTGCCTTGACAGTCACAAAAGCCGCGAGCAGCACAACCAAAAGCGGCAGAGACGACATTTTGAAGCAGAACTCCTTGCAGTAAGTTAGGGATTGGCCTGCATTTTTATGCCAAACTATATTTGCCTTGTCACATCTGTTCAACTCATGCCAAGTGGTTTTTCCTTTCTTAAACAGTTGTGTAAAGGTGTTAAATTAAAACTTCGGGCTTACACTATGTTTTATTGGATTTTCTGATCAGCTGTTTACATATAGGGGAATATTTATTTTTCTTTTCATTTTTGAAACTGCTCGGGAAATTTTGATGTTTTTTTTACTACTACTGTTTTTACACAAATTATATGACAAGGCCAAAGTAGTAGAACAACTTTAAGTAAAATAGTTGTTTTCTTTCTTGATCAAGAGAAGAAAAATTCTCAGAGTCTGTTTGTATGTCTGATATTTATCCAGTCATTTTCTCTGTATAGCACCTGTAACAGCTGACTATCTCTTACTTGATGTCCCGTTTTTTCTAATACCAAATATAAATTAAATTTTGATCCTCACGAAATTTAAAACTAAACCTGCCAACAAAACTGCAATATAGTAGTCACTAAAATGTATTGCAATCTTGGTCATTCATATCTTCGATGTCTATTTTTCTATTATCAAATAAAACTACATTCGTTTATGGTTCCAAGAAAAGAAGTATATACATAAGAATTAAAAAAAGAAAAAAAGGAAAAATGATTTTACTTCAATGTTAACTTGAACTATTTTACTGTTTCAGTTTTGTCCGCGATTAGATGTTTGTAGGACATGTTGTTATTCCTGATGTCGAGGAGATTTCTTTCTTTTGTTTTTAATTTTGTTTGTTCTTTTTGGCTGCCTTTTTATTACTTTTTTAATCTTTAAGACGTGTTGTTTTCACTCTGCCAAACCACCTGTACCAGCTAAATACCTTAAACATGTTTAGCCATAATGAAATTTATCAGATTTAATTTCGTGACGTCAACCGTCGATTAATTGGAACTTGTGAAAATGTTTAACCAAGAGACAAAACTTTCCCCCTGCTACATGTACTTAGAGAGTTTCATCAATAAAAAGATACATGTATACATCTCAGCTAGAGCGCATCAACCAAAGGTCTCTCTTTGATAGCGAAGATGAGTGTTGATTACCATGCACACATCGTAGCATATTGACATACTGTGGAACTCTTAAACCAGCTGAAGCAACTAAATAAATGAGGCTTGCTACCTTCTTTCTTTTTATGAAATGAAGTCCGTTTGTAGCAAATACGCTCAAGGATGTAATACAAATTTAATAAGTTCTCTTCAGTAACTCAGCGTCAGGCTACATTAAATGCAATTTACTGCCTGACAAACATACCTCTTACACAAAGTAATTCGAACTATTATTCACCCTGTATACGTCCAATTTCGTATCCAAATTGCATGCACATGTACCACGGGAATGGTGTAAATTTCACTTTTTGAATCTCTTAAATGTTAACTCATGAACTCTCTATCTCTCGGGCAGAGTTACCATGTTGTAATTAAATGCGACGTACACCAAGGTTTGAGTCACTGAACGGTAAATTAGAGAAATTGAAGACCAATATAACAGAACAGATATATTTGGTTATCTTGAGCCAGATAGTAATGTTGTGTCTCTTCCTGTAATCTTGTTATCGCAAAGCAAAATCAATAAAAACAAAAACGAAAAATACACGAAAATCAGTTGCCCAAATGGCGTTCAAAACAATTTCCTTTAATATAATTTTATCACGTAACCTTTATTGACAAAACAAGTATCACCTTTATGTTATTTATACAGAGATAGATAGTGGCGTTTTTTAGAGCAAGTTATTTAACAAGGGATTGAATGCAATATCATCAGCTGTCCTAAACTAACATCAGTTGACATATAAACTCACTGTTCCACAAGGGAAAGTGAGACTGTTGGGTTGGAAGACATGTTGTCGCTAGTACTCTTTATAGTTTTAGGAGCGCTGGCCTTAACTCAGGCCAGGGATGATGAGACAATGGCAATGGTAAGAAGAGAAAACTGCTAGAGAATGTACTTTTACTTGCCCATAAAATATGTGTTTGCTTTGTTTTTGTTTTCTTTTTGTTGTTGCTGTTACGTTGTTGTTACGTTGTTGTTGGCGTTGGTGGTGTTGTTATTATTTTTTTTGCCATGGTAAGTTATATGATTATATGGTCTCCTCTCAAACTCTTTTAGCTATCTTAGATTTTTTCCAAGTAGGCGACTCAGTATGTTGTCTGCTGTTGTTGCAGAATTTTCTCAACCAGTACCATTATCTGTCGACTTCAAGATCTGGAAATCACGACGTCGACTCAGCCATCAGACATTTTCAGCGTTTTGCTGGTCTCAAAGTGACCGGTAGACTTGACAGTGCGACAATTCGTCAGATGAAGAAACCACGATGCGGCATGCCGGATGACGCAGCAGGCAGCGATCGAGTGCGACGTTACAAAACAGGTTCAAAGTGGAGAAAAACCCGATTGACTTACTACATTCAGTTTGGCCGGGATCTACCTCAAGGCACCCAGGAACGCATCTTTCAGAAGGCTTTGCAATACTGGGCCGACGTGTCGGCGTTGTCTTTTTCAAGAACTAACAGTCCTGAAAGAGCGGACTTAAAGATAAGGTACATAATTATATAATACTCAATTATTTTACATTTTTTCTTCTGCGCTTCACAATTTATCTACAGTTGCCAAGTTTCTTTCCCCCAACCTGTATTTACAAGTACACATTTTCTGTTCGCTTGACGAATGGCATGATAAATTCCGCTGTCGTAGATATTGTAATGAGCTTATGCTGCAAGGCTGTAATTTCGACAAATTTGAATTTCAAATTATGGGGAAAAGGTGGTTTTACGCCACCACTCACAAGGATATTTCTAGGTCTGTGTATTTATGATTTTGAGGTATTGATAATGTCCGAAGGGAACCTCTTAACCTAGTTCTCCAAACAAAGCCTGTGACTGCAAAACGTCGAACAAATGGTACCTTTGAAAACTATGCGCATGGTAAAATATTCTGATGCCGGTTTTAAATTGTGATTGTTAGAATAGTAACAAGTTGTTGTTTCATTTCAGTTGTTCTTTTCATTTCCGTCTAGTTTTGGATACAATTCTCATGGCGGGGTAAGGGGTGAAAGGAGGTGCGGTTACCCCTTTGACGGTGCGGGAAAAGTTTTGGCACACGCTTTCTTTCCACAAGACGGTCGCGCCCATTTTGACGAGGCTGAGACATATACAGATGGAACGTCAAGAGGAACTAATCTACTATGGGTAGCCACTCATGAATTCGGGCACGCACTTGGTCTTGATCATTCCGATGTACGTGACGCCATCATGTATCCATACTACACAGGATACGTTCCTAACATGCGGCTCCATTCTGATGACATCGCAGGCATACAATACTTGTATGGTATGTTGCACAAGTTTAATGTGAAAACGAAATATACTACTCGTCATTAACTAGAGTCGAATCCAGTTTCAAAATTACTCCGACACCCACGAAAGGTTTCCCTAACGTTTTAGAAAAAGTCTGCCGGTTAAATATTAAGCTTCATTTATTGATTAACACGATTAAACCCCTACGTTAAAACCCTACGTTAATTATTTCGAATGATCTTGCAGCTGGTAACATTTAATTTCTGCCATGTTTTGTTTAACAGGTTATGGAAACGGCGGAGGTGCAAATGGTGGTGGTGGCGGTGGTTGTAAGTAGCATCTAAACAATGTATTTTTGTCTATTTCCGTCGTTCTCCAGCTTCAGAGGCAGTAAGTGATTCATTCGAATCATTCAAGGAAAAAAATCTGCATAAAAAGCTGTCCCCCGCATAATGCAAGCTCGGTTTTGTTTGAACCCATATTCCTTCGCTGCAAACTGACAGAAGTTCCCTGAATGTTCTGATCTGCTTTTTTGGGGATAAGTCATGGGGGTGCAGGGGGTTGGAAGGTGGGAGGGGGACTTGATAACTAAAAAGAAAAGAAAAAAAATGCGGGATAGCCGTTTTAGATTTTGCAGCTAGGAAACCATAGGCTCCTGCTACCTCTTAATCTGTATCATCCTACGAATTTTGACTTCTAAGATGTATCCAAATCGCCCCCGTCAGTATTGTCTAGAAGAGATTCCGCTATTTCCGGAGTGGGGAGGGGTGGAGATGAACACTTCTTGACGGGTTTTACGGGGCATTGGTCGACCAGCACCCACTTCACACACAGGTCATGTCTGCAGAATTACTTATCTTGATGGATCACGTCTAGGCAAGACTTTGTAGAATAACATATCCCCTTATAGTTCACGCTGTTGTTTTGGTTCTTTCTTAGTTTGCGAAGATGGAAATCCGCAATGCAACCTTTGGGGGTATCTCTGCTACGAAAATGACTACGTGATAGCGAATTGTAAAAAGACATGCGGAAGGTGCTGAAGGTTAGGAGCTAGTTTCCTCGGAGACGTTTCTTAATTTAACACTCTTGCCAAATACACTAAGAGCATTCCGAGTGATCACAAAGTTCGTCTAAGGGGTTCCTGTTCCTTATATTTACACCCTTTTTCAGACCCATGGAATAAAGTATATTATAAATGCTCCCAGTGAGCCAAAAAAGGCTTCGATTTGCCTAGAAGTTTGACAATGAATCGCTTTATAATCTGAAGATCATACCCTGTTAATGTTCTTCTGAGAGCGCAAAAATTATCGATTTCAGGCCAAAATGGTCAGAACGTATACCATACTTAACACCAAAAAGTGTCAAAATTCCCTTAACCACATCCTCGCCGCACATACATGAACTTCAGATTATATGGGGTGGGGGATGGGAGAGGAAGGCTTGCAAGGTTACGCTCTAGAAACTTATTGGTCTAAAACATGAGAAATGTCCCTTTGCGGAGCTATTACAACCACAGTGATATAATAAGTCTGATTTTGTACGTTTCTACCGTTTCACAGCTCAGTGAAAGTCAATGGAGATTCTTCGCAACAAAACGATGTCTTTTCCAGATCAGCAGATTTGAAACATTGAATAAACGATCGATGTATTAACAATAGAGATGTTTCTTTATTTGTTTTATTGGTATTTCAAAATACACACATACATTTGCACTGTGGGATCTTCAAACAAAAAAGTGCAGGGGATTGGTTTGCTGTTTGCTTAGCAGGCGTAAAACAGGGGAGAGGGGAGAGCGGGGATAACGCCTACAACGAAGACCAGTTCACAGTTTTCAAGGTTGATATATCACGTGTACACATTAATAACACCACTAATGCATAAGGTATGACGTCATCGAATCCGTCACATCCGGCTAAGAGTTTTCATTATCTCATAAAGCAGAATTACGTCGAGTACATATACGATTCTGATTGTACTCGAGAAATTATCTCTTTCAGAAAGCGCATAATCGTTTAAACCTGAAATCTGAAAATCAAGGTCAATGTTGCCATGGCAACATCACCTACCTAGTTTACACTTTTCACAGAGCCAAAATAAAATGCATCTATGGTACGTCTGAAAACATACAGCATATAATGATGCCAGAATCGAACTTCTTAATTAATTATACTTTCCATGGGACAAACAAGAGAAATAGCCTAATAATTGTCACTGTTCTTCATGTGATCTTTAATCCAGTCCACGAAAGAACTTATGCGAGTGAAAACCGAGTAAGTTTTTCCGGCAGGACATCCAGGAATTCCCCAGCTCACTGCACCTCTCAGAACAAATCTCCCATCCTCTGGACATACAAAAGGCCCGCCACTGTCACCGTTGCAACCGCTGATGGGGCTGCTCCCGCCAAAACCAGCGCAAAGCATTGATTGATCGTCAATGGGTTGAAAGAATGAATTTCCCTCGGAGCAAGTTGAGTAGTTAACCGTAGGCATCTGGGCTTGCTGCAGCTTTTGGGCTTTTGTATTATTTCCGCTTTTTGAAAATCCCCAGCCTTAAAAAACAAACAAACAAAAAAAAAAAAACAAACAAACAAACAAAAATCAGAACTTTGAATTAAATCCCAGAAATCCATTCGTTTCAATACAAGGCTAGTTTAACAGAATCAATTATATGTGAGGACATAACACAATCGAACACTCGACAGTTGAATTAAAATAAATTAAGCCTTTCTTGCCAGTACAATTTCAAATACGTGTGTTCAACCCCGACTCCCCCCCTCTTCATTCCAGCCTTCCCTGCCACCACCCCCCCCCCTCTCAGGTCCCTTACCTTAACAGGTAAAGAAGCCTAAGCTGTGTATTACACTGTGATAAAAAACGACGGGCATTTGAGAACTGTCTGCTGCTCGGCTTAGACTTCTTCATTTGCTTTATGATATAGATTTTACACGCCGCGAGTAGAAACAACAAAATAACGAGATCGACAAACTGACGCAATTTAATACCACAAAAGTGCTACATGCCTCTTCCTCAATACTTTCTGCTGTTTCACAGAGAGCTCCATCACAAATTTCTTCAAATATTTTTTTTTCTTTTTTTTTTGCTATCTCTAACAGAAATGTTGACTAGAGAGGTAATGTGACGAAAAACAATAAAACACGCTTTTTCTATGTTTCATACTCTGATAAAACATGGGTTTTTGACCCATCAGAGCGCGCGCAGGGTTCTATCTATATTATAATCAATTATATCCCATCCAGAACAAAAAAAAAAAAAAAAGATATATATATATATATGCATACAAATACATAACTGTCCCTTCAGTTCGACTTCCTTTCCGTGTCAATAAAGACGAAGGGAACATTTTATGTTGTAATCAGTTTGTAATTTATTACAAATTTTCTTACTAAGGTTAACACTGACATAGAATGCCTGTTCCAAGCAGGGTGAATAGTGCTAGAATTTACTAGGTTTCATTGAACAAGCAGATAACGTTAACGTTCAAAACATATTCAGGATAAACGAAAAAAAAAAAGCCCTTGTGTCCACCGATTTGATCAAGGATATAGGCCTACAGCTTTGTAACGATAATACTGGCTATCAACCACCACGTCATATAAAAACGTTTACCGCGGCCTGGACGAAGAACAGCTTCTGTTTGCAAAATTGGCTGTAATATACCTACAATCTGTAACTATGTTAAATTTACAGTTAGAGGTATGTCGAGCGATGATCTTCATTACATATGCCAACCTCTTCAAGCTTTTTACACCGGCATCTGCTAATTCACCTACATACAGCACAACCCGAGATCAGATCTGAAACATCTATCCCTCGGCATGAATAATAAATATCACTTTTAAGTTAATATTTACAACCATCCTCCAACTAAAATGAGCATACATACATACGTAACGTCAATTTGGCCTCGTGTGCACCAGGGCACGAAAGTTAGTGTGATGACTGAGTACTGTATTGTCGACGCTACAAATTTCTGCCTTTCTCCTTGGTTCTAATACTGGTTTCCGCAAAGCAAATTATTACTTTACTGTTCCTGAGAAAGAGTACTTTGCGCTGACGCTGGAAGTCCTTGGATGTTTTCTCCGTGATTTGTGAATGTGAACAGCGAACATAAATGTTTTTGTCATTTTGTTCCATTTTAATACTGTTTATAGTAGACAGAGACAAACTAGTGACAATGAGGAAGGCCATTCTGCATCTCAAGCATTAGCTTACGCCCTCTGGGACGGCGCCAGTTTGATTTATTAGCGTCTGGTAACCCATTTTGAAATCTGTCGCACCTTGGTACTGGTAAGGGAATTTATAACATTGAACTCCAACACTTTGCCTTTGACCTTTCCTCGGGCTATTGCCGATACTACACCAACGACGGCGTTTTCATCACCACTAGGAGTATCTACGTAAACTCCCGATCCGGAGACGCCTTTAGCACCATCACAGAAGTTGAGAATCATGTCATTCGATTTTCTGTACACCCGGCAGTACGTGTACCATAACGAGTTGTACCACTTATCACCGTGGAAGCCAGAAAACTGAATTTTTGAGCCGGGAAGGAGGCTGCTCGTCTGCACGGACATGTGCTGCCTGTTGTGCTGACGCTTGAGTTTCAAAACCGCAAAGTCGTATCTCAGCCTGTCTCTCGGCGGGGTCTGTGTCTTCCAATCTTTGGGCACATATGTTCTTTGCACGCGGATCCAGTGGAACTTTCCTGAACGTTGAAGCAAGCCTGAGAAATCAATGCGGAATCAATTTATGACGCGTAATTGACGTAGTAATTTGTTAACTACTCTGTTTTTACAAACCAAATCTTTCACTGATTTAATTAAGGACGCACAACTTTAGAACTGTTTTGCAGGTACACATCATACAATATCCAAGAATTAATTTACCAGTGTATATACAAGCAATTGTAAGAATGAAAGGTTCTTTAGAAAGCGTACTAGCGAGAATAATGTTTTAAGTGGCGCATGCAGCTGTCTGATTAATGGGTCTGAACACCGTTTTATTAATCGGATGTATCTTCAAAGGCTTTCGTTTTAGTCCAAGTTAACAAGGAACATCACTGAACAGACTTCAGATCCATTTGATATCATTTTCTTTAAATGATCGTGAGAATTTAAGCGGAAAGCGCGGAAAAAAAAGGCCTATTTATTTCAACGAAAATGATGTGTTGCAAAAGTGAATTAAATAAAGATGTACATTGCCATTAATCAGTGAAGTGAAGTGAAGTGAAAGACTTTATTTAATGAGAGTGACCCGTGACAGTAACTTAAGTTACTGATAAACTTGGGGCCCTCAGCTTAAAATAATTAGAATGCTAAAAATATATTATTTACAATAAAATGCTAAA